ATGAGGCTTTTTGTACCTCCTGGTAAAAAGAACGAGCTCCGTCTTTCCAAGATTGACAGCAAGTCCGCAGATAGCGGACCAATTTGTGACCATGTTTAGGTGCCCTTGCCTCTGCCGATAAGTGCCACGTTATCTGCGTAAGCAATAATCCAGAATCCTCTCCTTTCTAACTCCCCCAGGACGTCCTTTATCACGACTATCCAGAGAAAGGGTGAAACTCCTCTCCGCCTCCCTGCGGGGTGCATCTGCTCAATTTAAGCTACTCAGAGGCGTTGCCCCATACCGCTGTGACATTTCTGTCGTGCAGCATATGTGAGATGAGCCTTACTAAGTAGCTCTCGACTCCGAGCTAAGTAGGGGCTCTTATTATCACCCCAGGTAGGACATTATTTAAAGCCCTCTCGATATAAAGGAAGGTACCTACTACAAAATTTTTGTTCTTAAGAAACTCCTCTGTGACTTTGACAATTGAGTCAAATTTTAACTTCGGCCAAACATTTCCAATACAAGGAGGAGCTACCTCGATAACAGAGTCCTATAATACGTTACGGAAGCTGGAGTCTAAAAAAATGAGATAACTATGGGAGTACAGCAGTTCTAAGTGCTTTTTAGTTCCAATTTTATAGAACATAATGTATGATACAGTGTTTCGACTCCCGTTACTGGCAGGATTAGACATCGCATACCCTACAACAAATGGGACTAATCCGGGAGCAATCGCAAGGGAACATAACACTTTTGATCTTTTTTTATGGAATGAACTGATCGAAGAGCTGCGTGCTTAAACCACCTTCTGACGAAATATTTGACGGGCGGTATCGGGAGGGGAACGGTACATGGCGGCAGGAGGTTAACTTAGCTTAAAACTACACTTGCTACGCCTATTTTTCGTAGATCCCATACTATATTGGAAGTACTGCGCCGATCAAACTCCAAGTAGCACCATCAGCTCGTATGTATATGTACATATGTACATATGTATATTGTACATACTTTTGGTTATAATCACTTACCTCACTGCTTTCAAATCGCCGCTAATGGATGAATTTGGCGATGGTTTGGAACTAAGATCTAATGGTTGTTCACCGGTGGCATCACTGGGACTGGGTGAATCCTTGAGTGGCGGACTTACAGCGGTGGCCGATGTCTCTGAGGTAGTTGGTGTCGCCGAATTTGTCTGTTGTTGTTGTTGCTGTTGCTGTTGCTGCGGCTGCTGCTGCGGCTGTTGTTGTTGCGTTGGTTGTTGGGTTGGCGCTTGATGTTGCTGTTGCTGTTGTTGTTGTTGCTGTTGCTGCTGCTGCTGTTGCATCAATTGTAGCCAATTGAAATCTGTGCGAAGAGGCAAGGGATACATAGAAAAGAAAAGTTATTACACACACATTTTTTTTTGACGGAACATACATACATATTTACGTAAGCTGCATTGACACTTACTTGGATAACCAGATATGACTGCTAATTGCGCGGCCATTGAGTCCATTGAAGTCATGTTCGCGGGCAAATCTACCAAACGTGTCGTCAACAGCTTATTCCAGTCAATGCGATTATTATTGTTGTTGTTGTTGTTGTTGCTATTATTGTTAGTATTGGTGTTGTTGATGTTATGCATTAATGGGTTAACCACAGCCGCTGTTGTTGTACTGTTCGCCAAATTCACATGCGATGATTCGTTTGAATCGCTATCGGTCTCGAGCTGCTTTATTTGTTGATTTATTTTTTGAAATTAAATGAAAAACATTAAAAAAAAAATTTTATAAGGGGAATTAAATGAAAAAAAAATAATTATTATGAAATACATAAACGCTTATGTATTTTTTTTTGTTTGAATAATTCTAAATTATCTGCGCTTTATTTTCGCTAAGAAATGCTGGATACCGCGTTAAGCGGCAAGATTTCTAAGTAATTTAACCATTAATATTTGAGAAGTAAAACAATTTTATATTCCAAAATTATAAATGAGTTAAACGAACTGCTTCAAATGTCAGCAGACTTCGTAATTTTTACTTAAAAAAAAAATCCCTTTCTCTGAAATAATGGAAGCTGAAAATCGACCTTCATATGTAGGTACATATGTATATCAAAAAAGGCTCTAAACTTTGTACAAAATTTAGAAAAAAACATCAAGCTTCAAACTTTTTAATAAAATATTTTCGAAAACTTCGGGTGTTTAGTTGCCATAAATTTTCGTTGACTTTTCAAAATTTTAAGATTTTGATTAAAAAATGAAAATTTTTACGAAAATTTCATGTTTTTTTGCTAAATTTTGTACAAA